GTTTAGCTCTGATGAGGGTCTATCCATCAGGTCAACCAATGCCCCCCTCCCCTTAAAAAAGACACCCACCCAAACCACTACAATTTTGGGATGCACCTAGTAGTGTGACATTTATTAGGAATAAAGACTTCTGAGTTCTGGTGCATTTGTGCATGCGGGGGTCATTATGTTACAGCTATGCGGTGTCTAGTTTAAATTGGTAAGAGCTTGTTTGACTTCATACTTACTCACTATCCAGTACACTTGATAAGTGTGGTTAATGTAAAATAAGTACATATGGTGCTGTAGAGGAGGACAGAAGATGAAGAAAACAGAAAAAAGAAAACGTTCTGACAGTTTTCTCAAAGAAGGCCAGGGTCTGTGAGGCCTTTATGGTCTGTCTCTGTGAGATTCTGGACACAGTGTGGACCATGCATCAGTTACAGCTCAACAGGAACATCACCTGGCCATTGGTCATGAAACAGACAGATGTCTACCCCCAGGTGAGGCTGACTGCAGCAGAAACTGTTGCCAGATCATTTTTTTATCTCGATAAAGCAATGGTATAATCAAAAGATCAGCAAAGACAGTGGACCTCTACTTCAATCAAACATTTCTCTGCCAAAGTTCACTAATCAATCCCTCCTAAAACAAAGCTGCAAAGCAGTTAATTATATAAACAATACTGAATCTTACTTAGATGGAGAGACGACCTCAAAGCAGAACCTCCTCTCTATGTCTTCATATGGTTTAACAGAACACAATCTGAGATCTTCCACCACCACCGTTAGAGAGTCCTGCTAAGACAAGAACATCACGTTTGCCACATCAGGAGTTACGAACGTCAGCAGGAAGAGGCTTTCCATTCTGTTAGGACATTTCAACTGTCAGGTAGAAACCCAAGACTGCCCAATCCACCTGCTGGGTCCACAGGTTAAGGTAGAGTTAGAGAAGTTAAGTGTTGCAGGCAAATTTACTTAAACWCTCTCATTAAAGAAAGAAAAACAATAAAATCAATGAAATAACTGAAACTGCCAAAAATATTTTTGATATTTATTTAAAAATCAGCTAATGAAAATTAGCCCCTGCCTCTGAGTTCTGGTTCAACAGGGTAACTTAAAAACCAAAATAAAACTGGTTTTAGCAAAAGCTATTCTACACTAAATTTGATATTTGGTTGAACAACATTTAAAGACAATTGCTGCAATCCTAACCCTAACCTACAGGTCCAGGACTGTCTCTGAGGCTTCTGCGCCTGTCCATAGGTCCAGGACTGTCTCTGAGACACCTGCGCAGGTCCACAGGTACAGGACTGTCTCTGAGGCTTCTGCACCTGTCCACAGGTCCAGGACTGTCTCTGAGYCTTCTGCACCTGTCCACAGGTCCAGGACTGTCTCTGAGGCTTCTGCACCTGTCCACAGGTCCAGGACCATTGCTGAGGCTTCTGCGCCTGTCCACCGGTACAGGACTGTCTCTGAGGCTTCTGCACCTGTCCACAGGTATTTACGTACAGTAGGTCTTCTCATGATCAAACTGCTCCATTGTCTCAGGTCTGAAAGTTTCAGCTTGACAAAGCTTCTCCAGATGTCTCGGCTCCTTCCACAGACCTTCAACAGGATTTCGATCAGGACTCAGAAAAACATTTCCGAACAGTCCAATGTTTGGTTCTGATCCATTCGTGGTGTTACTAGTTGTGTGTTTTAGGTCCAAGTTTCTGACACTGAGCAACACCTTCAGCTKCAGAATGCCTTGAMAGTCTTGAGATTTCATWGTACCCTGAATATATTAATTCAAGRAGAACAGAACTGAGCCTCCTRCGTGTTCCACTGTAGATCCAGAGTTCTGTTATTTGTTTCTTGTTTGGGTCTGTGAACCCAGAACTGTTGGAACTCATTGTCCAGTTTTTGTCTCATCTGGCCAGAGGACATTCTCCAAGAGGTGTTGTGGTTTGTCAATAGGAAGTTTGAGAAATTCCCTTCTGATTTCTTTATAATTCAGTTTCCTCGTTGGTTGTCTTAAGTTCACTTTGTCTCAAACKGWTTGATGGACTGTGTCACATTTCAGGGGCTGCATACTCATGAGTGTGCATTTGTCGGCCACATARGTCACTGTCCCATGCCGAGTGCTGTCCCAATTCGAWGGCTCCTCCTCATGTGGCTGAGGAATGCAGCTTACAAAATCTCAAAAATCAAGGATGCWTCGGAGTATCCTTCCCAGCCGAGGATATCAKCTCAGACCCCACTCATATTCTTCAGAGTCTCAGAGTTCCCGCAGGTAGACTGAACCTCTACAAGAACTCATTTGTTCCACATTCTATTAAAGCCATAAACAGTAACAAACAGTAACTGTAAAATGTGAGTTTAGGTAACGGTGTTCAAGACATTAAACTGTATTGACATGCTTCTTTTATATATTTATTTCTCTTGGAATGTATTTATTGCAAAATGTGTGTTTCATGTGGGAATGCAATGTGACTGCCGTGTTTTTTTTTTGTTTTTTTTTCTGTAGCAGTCATGGTCTGTACCCAAGACAAATTTCCTTCGGGACAATAAAGTTAATCTTAATCTTAATATCCAAGGATTCAATGTGGCGACAGCAAACTAAACAGAGAAATGAAGACTGTGGAGTTTAATTTTTTTTAATGAGTCTGCGTAATTTGGAAATTCATCATGGACCGAATAATTTGTTTTTATAGTTTAGAAACTTAGCTGTTGAAATTCATGCTGCAAAAAGATGTTAAATAAAATGCAACTACAAGTACTGATCTGGAGCTAAACCCAATTTTTTAAATTAATTAATTACAGCGGGTAAAATAAGTATTGAACACGCCACCATTTTTCTCAGTAAATATATTACTAGAGG